ACAAAGCACATTATCGGAACGCGGGGCCTCCAGGAGATTCTGGCCACCTGCGACACCGGTACCGCAAAGTCCGTCCCCTGTGTGGCTATTGGCAGTATCAACGCCACGAACGTTCAGCGCGTGCTGCATCAGTCCGCCTTTGACACAAACCGCCTGAGCGGGATCGCCGTGGTCAGTGCCATCATGGCGTCGACCGACCCCAAAACATCCGCAAGCACACTTCTCGACTTGATCAAATCGGCGCCTGAAAAGTTCTACGCGGCTGTTCCTCCACACATACCTGTGACCACCGATGTCAACACGCTCATCGCCCAAGTTCCTAAAATCATCAGGGCACATTTCTCGTCTGGCGTCATCTGCCACAACATGACCAACACGGTGGTGCAGAATTTCGTCGCCAACGTCTGTCTCTGCACGGGCGCCTCGCCAATCATGTCGGAGCACGAGGGCGAAGCCGCAGATCTAGCTAAACTCGGCGGCGCGCTTGTCGTCAATATTGGAACCATCACGCCAGACAAGTTGGAGGCATGGGTTGCAGGCATAAAGGCGTACAACGCTGTCGGCGCACCGATCCTGCTCGACCCGGTTGGCGGTGGTGCGACAGCCGTGCGCCGTGCTGCGATCGAGCGCCTCCTCACAGCGGGCTTCTTCAGCGTTATCAAGGGCAATGAGGGCGAGATCGCTGCCGTAGCGGGCACATCCACGACGCAGCAGCGAGGCGTGGATTCTGGACCCTCGACCTCGAGCCCCGAGCAGAAAGCCCAACTGGTCAAGAGCCTGGCGCGGCGTGAGCGCTGTATCGTCCTCATGACGGGCAAAACCGACTACCTGTCCGACGGGACACGCACGCTCGCCATCCACAACGGCTCGGCCTGGCTGAGCAAGGTCACCGGGTCGGGATGCGCCCTGGGCGCCGTCATCGCCAGCTACCTGGCCGTGCACCCGGACGACAAGTTCCTCGCCGCCCTCGCTGGGATCCTGCATTTCGAACTCGCCTCCGAAGACGTTGCCAGCTTTTCCGACGGGCCCGGCTCGTTTGTGCGCTTGTTTCTGGATTCACTTTATCGCCGGGGAACAAAGATGGTCAGCGAAGAGAACGGCGAGTCCCAGGCCGAGGAGTTCGCTTCATTCGTCGAAGTGGAAATGATTCTGTGAAAGCACGAGAGGAAAAGTAGTAGAAAAATGGGCCTACGGATGAGGGAAGAAACGAACAAATAGAAGAGTGAACTATCATAATCATTGTGCATCGCCATTTTGTCCCTGGTTTCTTTTCCTCTGTGGCGTACAATGGCCAGAGAAATCTTCAATGCTAAATTCTACTCGTCTAGACAGCTACACCAGCCTTCGGCACAAGGTCGAATGTCTTGCTCAATATCTAATCTCAACCACCATCCACTTCCCTCCCCCCAGCCAGCATCGCCATCACCGCCGGAGATTGGCCTTTCCTCAACACCTCTCAGAGCAGTGGCGATCATAAAATCCTGGTCGTACGCTACGAGTTCGATCTGTACGTCTTCAACCCGCTTGCCGCGGAGCAGGGTGGTCATGCCCCTTTCGGCTTGCTGCGGAGGTGTCCATTTTGCGCTTTCCACTGGGGAGGGATGGTGTCCTACACCGGGGCCGTTGGGGGAGGAGGTTGCCGGGAGGGGTGGCTCGAGAAGAGATGGTGTGCTTGGGGAGTCCGGGAAGGGAGAGAGGTAGTCGTGGGAACGATTGCGAGCGTGAGCATGGGGGTGAACCATTGTGGTGCTAGGTATTGAGAGCTTTTTGGGTTTGCCCTCGATCGGGGAGGCGAAGGATGGTCTTCTCTGCGCATACATGTCGGCAGCAGGGATCGAGGATGTCCGACGGTGTGTGCCGGGTGATGAACCCGGGTTTATGAGAAAACTCTCAACAGATTCGCGCTTTGAGTGCGTGTCAGTGGTTGCAGCACCATCGCTACCACGCTGAATGGATGTGTCGACCGGAGGTACAGAAGAGAAGTGCCCCTGAGATTTCCTGTGCGCGTAGATGTCGGCGGATGCGGGAAGGGGCATGCCTTGTGACTCTATGATGGCGTGTGTGTTGCTGCTGTTCTTAGGCTGGTGATTCGATGCCGCGGATTGATGCAAGTCAGGCTTGGGGAGCAGTGGGGCAGGGGGAGCATGAACGTCGAGGAACTCGAGCTCTCTCAACCAGCTAGCAAGTAGTCCCTCACCCACCATCTTGATATATGCCTCCTTTAGACTCCAATACGCATAGAACCGGCGCAACTTCATGTTGATGATCTTGGCCTCGTGCTTCGAGAAGGGGTTGTTTGTCCCGCTGCCCGGCCCGTCTGTGGGCGAGGAAGCAGCTGATGAAGAGCTTGAATCACTTGCCCATTCGCCTTCCTCACGCTCTTTGATTGGGACGTGGATTGGCATCTGACGCATGTGGCGTCTCTCGCGGTCAGAGAACATCTCCGCGAAAATTTCAATCCACTCGTCGAATTTGGACTGTGTGGTGAGATCTTTCGGAGTGCGTTTGTCTTCGTTTGTGCAGGCTATATCCACTCCAACGCGGACAAGATCAGGATGGTCAAACGCTTTGCACGTCGGGTGACTGGCCAGGTCTATTTGCGCAAATGAATCTAGAACTGTGGGAGAAAGCGGGCCGGGATTCGGCACGACAGATGAAGGAAGCTGGGGGGTAGGCGTGGAGCAGCCGATGATGACGACGAGGCCGGCTTGGTGAGAGACATTGAATTCGAGGCCTCTTATCAAGCTAGATTCTCCGTCGGCTGGGTCACTGTCGTCGTAGATGTCAGTGGTGGACCAGTTCTCGGGCGGTTCCCAATAAGGACGTCGATGAGGAGCGGGTGTTCGTGATATCTGAACCTCGGACCAGGGGATCTTTGCACGGCGGTGGATGAACGTGTATTTCAGAAGGGCGCTTGCAAGAGACATGAAGCGATCTGCGGGGCGAATGAACCGTGTTATTGCTTCTTCATCGGAACGCCTCAGGGTCGAGAGCAGGGGAAGGGAGTGGAGCGATTTAGGGTTGTGTGGTTGGGGCACATAGGGCCGGGTATCAAGGTACCAACGGTTGATAGTGGTGGTAAAGTTGGCAGGACAATGAGGCGACATAGTGCAAGACTGCTCGTACTTTCGTACTTTGGTACTTTTGGTGATATCAAGCCGGCGTTGATTCGAGTAGTGGAATAGTGACCGATAAGGGCGACGTGAGTCAAGTCTGTAAGCTGCGGGATCCCGCGCCTCCTCTTACAACCACAAAAGTGTGAAACAGCGTATGCTCAAGAACACCCTACCGGCGACAGGATCTCCATTCACCGAAGAAGAGTCTCGCGCGACATCCAGTCAATGACCGAAAAGGGCTCGAGCTTGCAATGGCCTGCTGGAGCTGCCGCTAGACTGCGTGAAGATGGCTGAGTTGTAAAGGTCTATCAGGAGCTGGTTAGTGGGATTATGGAGTCTATAGTCTAGATTATAGAAGAGAGAGATTAAAGAAGGTAAGAACAAAGAAGAGATGTCTGATAGCATTCAGGAGACAAAGTCTTAATTTAGCAATAGGCCGAACGGGTGATCAACGGCGTCGAGGGTTCAGAGGGTGGCCAGATCAGAGGGTTCCACAAGGCTGATGGGTTTCGCTGTCTCGAGGGGCCTGATGGTGCCAGATGGAGATGAGATGAGCGTCTTATTGGATGGAAAAGCATCAAAGGTCGATAGAAGGATTGTCTCGGGCTGCTGATGGTTGTTCAGGTTTCGTAAGGGGAAGAAGTCGATGAGGTCGGCGAACGACGGAGATGGCCAATCAAAAATGGTGCAGGCAATCAAAGCCACCACAGCCACTCGCAGCCACCGCAGTCGCCACAGGGCGGAATGAATCATTGTCGTATTGAATTTTTTTCCAAGACGAGCAACATGACTAACCACGAGCCACGGCGAGAAGACCATCCTTTTATTCGCTGCGACTATCAGCCAGCCGTCTATTCCACCGGTCTCCTATCTAACACATCGTCTATTGAGATTACCTGCTATCCCCTCCCTCCCACCTTCGACACACGTTCCTTCGTACATGAGGTGTCAATGACAATCACCGTCGGCGTGTTGGCCCTGCAAGGCGCCTTCTTGGAACATCTGGTACTGCTGCAGAGAGCCGCCGATTACTTGCGCCGCGAGGGCACTGCAGCCTCTTTCGAGTTTACAGAAGTGAGAAACGCAAGAGATTTGGCTCGTTGTGATGCTTTGATCATTCCTGGCGGCGAAAGTACAACCATCTCCCTCGTCGCCGCCCAGTCGGGATTGCTGGAACCGCTGAGAGAATTCGTCAAGTAGGACAGCAACCCTTATCTCCTCAGCATTCTGACATGATGACTGACGTGTACCTCTTCCAGAGTCCACCGCAAACCAACGTGGGGAACTTGCGCCGGGTTGATTCTGCTCGCGGAGGCGGCTAATGCTACTAAGAAAGGCGGACAGGATTTGATAGGGGGACTCGACGTGCGGGTGAATCGAAACCATTTTGGACGACAGGTAGAGAGCTTCCAGGCAGACCTTGACTTGCCCTTCTTGCATGGCGATGGCGCAATTGACAAGACGCCCTTTCCTGGCATCTTTATTCGCGCTCCCGTGGTCGAAAAGATTCTTCCCAACGTGCAAGGCATCCAGGAAAGCGAACAACAACTTGCGGAGACAGTCGTTGCCCCACACAAGTCTGCCAGAGACGAGCATGCCCGACAGGCCATGAGCTCTCACGTCGATATCATGGGAAAATTGCCCGGTCGCTTGAAGAAAGCAGCCGGCATGGGCTCTGAAGTGCACGCTGGCGAGGAAGTGGGGGATATCATTGCCGTCAAGCAAGGTAACGTCTTCGGAACCAGCTTTCATCCTGAATTGACCTCGGATATTCGGATCCATGTTTGGTGGTTAAGGCAGGTTATGGATGCAGTCGGCACGGCGAACGGAGTTTCATGATTCCAGCACTTTGGATAGAGTTCCTGCACATTTTGAACAAGAGCATCATCTGCCGCCACCATATTCTTCTTCCTCCTTTTTCCTCTCTGCGTCAATCGCTCGGCCATAGCCTCCTCTTCCAGGGTCGAACTCGTCTCGGTATTCGTCCCTGACCTGGCCGCCCGATTTGCCGCGGCCGTACTGTCTGCCCTCTTGGAATCCAGCATCCAGGTCAGTTCGGATGACGCGTTCATCGAGCTTGGTGCCGCCAATATATTTCATACAATCCAGTGCCTCTTGATGTGTGTAGTATTCCACAAAGCAAAAGCCACACGGAGTCTTTTGGAAACGGTCCAAACCCATGATGAGACGTTTGATTTCGCCGCATTTGGAGAAGAGCTCGTGAATCTGTTCCTCAGTGGTGTAGAATGACCTGCGCACAATTTAGTCTCGATGCTCAGCACGAGGTGTCACGTAGCAGACGAACAGGTTTCCCACGTAGAGAGTGGTTGCATCCTTCAGCAGGTCATCTTGCTCTGTTTGCCTGTCACCATCTTCAGGCTGGTCTCGACCATACTTGCGCTTCTTCTTCAAAGTGCGTCAGCTCAGATCTTGCGTTATTCGGTATATTAGAAGAGACCAACCCTTGCGGAGTAGTAGGTACTTGGCCTGTCTAGCCTCTCGACCGTGGACATATTGTTTCGCCCTTCTGGAGCAGTAATGAGAGATTGAATGATAGAGAAATGAGGCCAAGTTGCGCCGCGTCTTCTCCTCGCGCGATCGCACCGCCTAATTAGGCTTAAACCACCACAGAATTCTATCCAATCACATTGAGATTCTTTTTCCGCCGCTTTTATCCAGTTCACCACACTTCTTTCGTGACCTTCTACTACTGAATACCCAAGCCACTTCTCCGTTGACCATCCGACCAACGACGAGTAGTATGTTTTGGGACAGTGGTACTATACTATCGGTCATTGGCAGACGGGTCCAACGAAGGTGACGTTAGGACAATGACGAGCTACTCAGAATACTCTGTTGACGATGAGATTGCCACACTCGTTGCGAAGACATCAGCTACCCGCTCGACATGTGGTGTTCAAGCAAAAGAATTCGCCCGGGGCACTGTTGTTCCTGTTGAGGTCCAGGGTGCGTGCAACTACTCGGTATGGAGACTGATGCGCTAGCCAGAAAAATTACCCATCGATATAACCAGAAGTCTCCTTCAAAGAAGTGATCCGCGTGGAAACGGAAGCAAAACAACCACTTTACGTCTATTTGAAGAGCCATTGCCTGGGTATCACTCATATGGACTCGGTGCTGGCACGCGTTCCCCTGTAAACACGCCTGAGAACTTCGCATGGCGGAAAAATCTGATGAGAGATGTGGCACGGTATATTGAGTCTTAACGAGAGGACAACATTCGGACCATCAGACTCGCGGATACCACTGGTCTGCCGCTTTCTACTGCCTTCACTAGCCGACTCGCGAATGCTTACAATGGATAGACAGATACGTGATTGTTCATGGATAAAGAGCTAGAAACGTGGCTGAAACGAGCATCGGTGTAGGCCACGCTCAGGTCACGCTCAGGTCGTCAACACTGTCTAATTCAGGATGCGGTTTCCAGGCATTCAACACCTTATGGTTCCCGATATCATCTTTGCATAGGTCTCGTTTGCTTTACAAAGAACCCCCAGCCCGTCGTCTGGGAAGGAGTGTACCCCTTCACGGCTGATAAATGCTGTTTCCTATGCAGTTCTGCTTTGTCCAACGCTCAAGACACGATATCATCCATTGACCATCCAATTCCACCTGTTTCTAACCACCATGGGATATTGGGCAAATGTGAACGTCATGGCGGATCTGAAAGGATTGGGCTAAGCGTCATCTTCGTTACAAGGAGCATTCGACCAGAACGTCCCAGGTGCATTTAGTTTCTGTCAGGGTCTTTCTGATGCCACGGCGAGACCGGCGATAGAGGTGAGGAAGGGAATGAAGTCGAGGAAAGAGAGAAATATCGAGAGGGCCGAAGAAAGAGGTTTTATAAATGATAAAAGCGGCGGCGCGTCTCGCTCGCGACCATACCAGAAATGGTAGGGCGGCGCGTAAACCGCAGGTAGATTTCCCAGCACCGCCTTAACGAGGAAAATGTTCAACAACTGACATATGCGAGACTGCACCTTTGTAACACCTCGTGTGGCACAGATTGTAGAAACTCTGCTACTGCAATGTGCGCCTGTCCTTGCTATTGTTTCTCTCGTTAAACAGCCACAATGCCCAAAGTCATTGGGTACACACCCCCGTTCCTGGCGCGACCTTCGCCTGGATCAAAGATCTTCACAGACCCCGAACCTCAGTCGCCCGCCTCTCCGTCCAAACGCACCTCTTATCTCGGTGCGCTTCCTTCGACACAATACCAAGGGCCCAGGAGATTGGTCGCTAGAAGGGGGACGGATATCTTTGCGGTCGTGGGAAACAAAATCAGATGGGCAGATCTGAGCGCACTTCGAGACGAATGGGAGGACAACACCCAGTCTGGCACCAGTCGCTTTGGTCTGTCTCGCTCTGATGCCACAGAGTCTCCCCGTGACAGTGTTTACAGAGTATGTGGAATCACTGGGTCTTACAGAGAGATAATGTTGACATAAACGTAGACGTTGGCTGTTCCTGTCTATTATCAGATTCGCCAGATTTCAATCTCGCCCTCTGGCCTTTTCCTGGCCATCTGCACAGAACATACCGTCCACATCGCAGTGCTTCCAGATCCATCACGATTGAAGGAGCATGACCGCTCACCATTGAAAGTAAAAACATATCAGCTTGGTCCGACTGTCCATGTCATCCCAGAATCTCCGCTTGCATCTGTGTTATGGCATCCTTTGGCCTACGCCACTGCTTCTACCGACTGTCTGGTCACTGTGACAGCTGAAGCAGCTGTTCGAGTATGGGAATTTGACAAGGCAAATAGCTGGTCCCTCGACCGTCCCAAACTGGCTGTCGATCTACGGAAACTGGCTGATGGGGTATCATGCGACCAAGACTTTGAGCCGTCTGGTTTCGGCAAAACTCGCGGATTCTCTGTCGACGATTTTGACATGGAGGTTTCTGCTGCGTGTTTTGGTGGTCGAGGGAAAGAGGATGAAGATGCATGGGCTAGCATGACTCTTTGGGTTGCAATGAGGAATGGGGATTTGTACGCTCTATGCCCGTTACTGCCATCGAGGTGGAAACCGACAGCAACAACTATTCCATCGTTGACCACGACTGCTGTGTCGCGCATGGCGTCAATCAACGACGACGAGACAGACATGGACGAAAGACGAGCCGCCGACCAGCAATACGAGTGGGTCCAAGAAATCGACAACGAGGAGCCTCAAATCCATAAATCGACAGACAGCCTGGGCGAGTTTGAGGTTCGGTTCAGGCCGCAAAACCCAAGTGCCATTCCACGTCTCCAGGGGCCCTTCACGATCGTCTCCGATGAGGATGCTTCCGAGATTGAGGTGTCAGATATCCATGTGTTTCCTGCGAAGCTCGATGAAAATGATTTGTTCGATGGCGAAGACGACGACGAAATCGACGAGAATCTCGTCCAGCCTATACCGTTCACAACTATCTGTGTTGCCACCCCTGAGAGCCAAGTTTGGCTTGCCATCGACCTTGATGGAATAACAGGACAGTGGCTGCCCAAGAAAGGGAAAAGTGCATTTGGTGTGCCTTCATCTGACGCTACACCCTTGACACTAGCCGACGTTGTTATGCTTGACGGATCGGGGGCGAACCCTGCTGCCAATTGGCCAGTATTCACTCCAGATATCGCCTCCGCTTATTCCATTTTTGTGACCACCCTGACGCGTGTCTACTCATTGTCATTGAATGACTGGGTTACTCAGCTGGGTGTCGAACTCTCTGGGACACAGCCTGTCGATCCTGGCATGCGAACCAGGCTAGAGACCCGATGTCAGAATCGAGTCTGTGTAATCGACAAGTTGATTGAAGCACGGGAGCAGTCTGAGGCTCTGTCGGCTCCGACTATCATTGACGACACATCACTGGGATACTTGCTCTTGACTGCGAGCTCGACCGCCGCGTACGGAGTAGTTTTCGACCAGATTCCGACCGGCATCTCATCTGTTGGTCCCTCCATTACCGACTTCACTATGTCTTCTACTCATGTGGATTCTCAACTTGCGAATCTGCCAGTGTCGCCTGTCGAAACGGTCCCCACACGAGAGCCGTACTGTCCTCCCAAAATCTTCTACTTGAACCAGCATAGCCCGATCGAATCGATGCGCCAACTCCTGCCGCCACATCTCAAGAAAGCCATCTCCGAACGGCCTATGCGTTTGAGCCCGGCTATGTTAGAAATTATGACCTTCACGCATCGCACGGTTGGCGGGCAGTCTGCTCAATTAGAGAATGCAGCTGCAGAGCTCTTCAGGCGATGTGAGCGCCTAAGAATCGAACTTGCTGGCCAGGTCAAGCAGATGACTGAACTTGCCCAGCAGTTGCAGCGCCTTACCGCCACTACTGAGGAGGATGAAAACGGCCAGGTCAAGGAGAAGAAGTCACCCGAGACCCGGATCAGCGAGGCACGGGAGAAGCAGAGCAACTTGGTGGCGAGGTACGAGGCTTTGAGAAGGAAGGTGGGACGTGTTGGATCGGCGAATAGAGAGCTGAGCTCCAAGGAATTGGCCTGGATGCATGAGATTGAGAGTCTGGGGCAGAATGTTGGCATTGTGGGTAGAGAGGCCAGGCAAGAGAGTGGCGGAGGAGAGACCAATCTCGAAAAGCGATTTGCGATGGTATGTATCTCGATTCTGCTCTCCTTTGTTCCGGAAACACGACTGACATGTAGACTACAGGTCAAACAACTCACTCAATCCCTCGTTGAAGAAGCTCACAGTATCGAAAAACAACAGCAACAGCACCCAGCCTCGCCCAAAGGTCCTCCAGCCCTAGAAGCATCTGTCTCCTCAATCTCGGCATCATCCATCACGCCGTCCATGTCAGCCTCACAAATCACTCTCACGTCCCGGTCCAGCGGAGCGGCTGCATCTCCTAGAAGTTCCAATTTCAGCGGACTGGGCGTCTCCAGTCGACTGCAAAAAGAACGCATCGCGGATATCATGGCGACGGTGGAGAGGGAAGGTGCCGTGATCGAGGCGGCCATGAAAAGACTCGAGAGACTAAAGATGGAGTACTAGGAGTACTTGTGGACGGACCTTGAATCGGGGGAGCATGTCGATGGTGCCCGAAGAGTCTGCAGCAAGGCAACCATAATGTACAAGAACCGGGGGGAGGCGGGCAGTTGAAGGGGATCATCAGTGGAAATCCAGGCGACAAATGCTACCCGACACCTCGTTTACTACGAAGTGCATTAGCACAAGCCATGACTAGACCAAGAGTTGAATAGCGACCACTGAGCCGTATCTTGGTGCTTCGCTTGGTGCCGTGGGTACAGCCAATGGAAGCGCCGATACAAACTCCAGCCCCTGCGCCCGGTGTTGATGAGAGGCAGATTTCAATGAGGCTGTGAGCCTGGCCTCTTCTCTTGCTGAGACCTCAACCTTTCGTCTAGTCGTGATGATTATGTTCTCTTGTACTTTCCATCAGAAACTCTTTGACGTCCTGATCAATTGACCTTGGGATCACATCTCACGAGTCACAGGTTGATGTTGCGGTCATGGCCGAGATTGGCTTGGTGGCCTCATTGTTGGGCATCTCAACCTTCGGTATTCGGTTGACTACGGTCCTCTACAATTTTGGCTCGACTGCTTCATCGGCCAGAGAACAGACGGACTATGTCGCCCGCCATGTCACGCTCTACTCGGATGTTCTCGAAATACTCGCTCAGCGGATCAACGACGACGAACCAATCCACTCCCGCCAGGCTCTTGACCTAGTCAATGACATCTACGGCCATTCTTGTGACCTGTTCGACAAGATCCGAGATCTCCTGCCAGACCGGGCCGACAAGGTCAGCTTCGTGGACAAGATCAAGTGGAATTTCAAGAAGACCAAGGTCGATCTCCTGGTCTCCGAGATCCAGTACTTGAAGAGCACCGTCAATCTCCTGGTGAGCGTCCTGTATGCCGGCCGGACCATACGGAGGCACAAGCGCAAGAAGAAATCCAAAAAGGCAGCGCAGGACGCAATGGCCCAGTTCGCAAGGGCGCAGACTGCCATTGTGGAACAGGTCAACGCAGCCGCCGTAAAGGAAGATTGCCAGGCCAAGGCTGAACAGGACGATCAAACAGCAGACGACGAGATCACTGGCACAAATGGCAATGATAATGACAATGGCAACGGCGGTCGCGTCTCTACGGCTCTGGTCAAGCATTCGCCGCATGTACCACCGTTAATCAACACCACCGCCATGGTCCAATTCAGGCAGCTGGTGGGTCAAGCGAGCGATGTTTCCGAGGAGCGAAGCCTTGTGATGGCCAACTCGGTCGACTTGTTGAGAGATTTGCTTGACCAATGGACCAACCTGGAGGACGACGGCACCGTCACCGCAGCTGCAGCCGCCGCTGCAGATGGAGCCGAGTCCTCCGCTCCACGAGCAGCAGACGAACAGGCGTCCAGTGAAGGCAACACCACGGCCGCAAGCCCGCAGCCGTCCGAAGAAGGGTTATATGACGTCTGGAGAAATCATTACCTTCAGTCGCAAAAAAGAGTGGAGGAGCTCGAGGCTGAACTGTCGAAGATGAAGACATCGCAAACTACCACTTCCCCCGCTGTCCACACCTCTCCTACCGACCCCTTCAGTGGGGGCAATCCAGTGATAGCGGAGGCGGTTGCGGATACAGCTCGCAAACATTTTCTTCCATCAAGGTCGAGTCGTGAGAAGGAAGCAGGGAAGAAAACGCCCGACGGCCGAACGCTAGGACAAAGAGCAGCTCTCGCAGCTGCGGAGGCCCTTGGGATGAGAACATGGAAAACGGCCTCGGGTCGGCAAGATGCAGGTCAGTCGAGACGGTCTTCCAGGATGTCTAGCAAGCTTCCGAAGGATTCGAGGCGGAGAGATGACCATCCGCGAGAACCACGCGTCGTGGGAACGACAGACTCACGCAACAGCCTGTCAGGTCGAGAGGATATGTTCGCCACGAAGGCCGCTGATGATTCTCGCTACACCACGCGACCCAAGGTTGTTCGGGAGGACAGTCTCACTGATCCTTGGGGATATCCCTTGGGACCTTCCACTTCGGGATATCGAAGCCCAGGTGATCGTGACCGTTACCGAGAACGTTCTCGAAGTCGTGATCGGGATATAAGCCCTGGAATTCGTGACCGTTACCGGGAGCGTTCTCAAAGTCGTGATCGGGATGCAAGCCTAGGGGCTGACGACGGCACTTTCGAGTACGAAAACAACTTCAACTACAACAACTACGGCAGCGGCTCCTATGTGCCTCCCCTTGGGGGCTACACCCTTCCTTATGACTCCCGACAACGTTATAAGAGCTATACTGGTGTCGACGGCATCAATGATCGCTCCACAATCCGACCGAACATCATCTTCCGAGAGAGAGTGCGTGACGATGACATCAGACGCCCCGAGGACCCTCGTCTTGATAAAGGGCGTAATAATGAATCTATACGCAAGGAGGACCCCAGGTACCGTGATGATGATTACCCGTACGTACGCAAGGAGGATCCCCGGTACCGTGATGATGATTTCATGTACATACGCAGAGAGGACCCCCGTTACCGTGATGATGATTACATGTACGCACGCTCTAAGGACTCTCGACCCGATATCGACCGCGCCTCGACGGATACTAGGGCTTCTCCCGTCCGTGAGGGAGTGCGTGACGATGTATCCGTTCGCTCTGAGGACCCTCATCTCGTTATCCACCGCTCCTTCACTGACGGGCCAAACATCATCCGCCGTGAGAGGAGCCGTGACAATGTGTTTGTTCGCTCCGAGAGTCCTCTTGTCGGTGGAGCCTCCGCCGCCACCGTCGACGCTGCAGTCAACCCCGTGGGCGGCAGAAGGCGCAATGAGGAACGTGCTCCTTACGTCGATCGAGACGAGTTGTTCGCGAACCCACCACTCCGAACGCACAGAGAAAAGTTGGGCTCAGACCCTCGTGTCAACGACACAATTCGGCGCCACTTCTATACGTGAGTGGCCCGAGTCAACGGGCCCTCTATGTTCCTTGTTCGGCTTGAGGGAGGGGGAAAGGGAGGTCCTTGTCCCTTTCGCTGCTGCTACTCTCACTATCAGTAACCCAGCACACCACGGTTGATGAGGACCGTGTGTCGCCTTTGTGTCGCCTTTGTCACCCAGCCCCTCATTCAGTCAACCAGTCGCCCGTTAAGAAATGAGACGTGATGCATACACGACCTTTCTCAGAACTCGACTACTCCTGTCTAAGCCCAGATGCCCAGGTGCCCAGACGCAAAGCCGTGGATATACATGTACATACCTGTACATACCTGCCCGTCCCTACCAGGAAAGACATATGCCGGTCTACAAAATGCATCCCACATCACGTCGGTTCGCGTAGCTGACACGAGTTTTACAGAAATCAAGTCGACTCCAGCTGGGAGTGGATGCTACAGGGCAACGTTCGACGGTTCCAGAAATTACCAAAGAGTCTTGGAATGGCGAAATATATGTATACAACATGGATGCTATATTCTCTGTGCCATGCGGAAACTATACGCTCCTCCGTGTGTCACGTCTTGGACTTCGCCGGGACTAAAAACCTCTCAACATTAATTTTATCATGGTCAGCTCATCATCGTTATAATAACAACAACATAACTTCTTGTCTTTCCACCTCCTTTTTCCCGTCCTCAGTGGCTCGGCTCGAGAGGAACATGTCTAATCCTTGGCTGCTCCTCTGGTATCTCAAAACCTCAATGTCCTCTCCTCCCCTTTCCTGCTTCGACAGTCATACTCGATCCATCTCGCAACACCACTGCCCCTGCTGACGCCACCTTGGCCTCTGCGCAGCGAGAATTCGTCCACCAGCCTTCCCGCGTTCATCACGTGGCATCCCTCGTAGCTGATCGCAAAGGCCGGCATTTCGGCGTCACAGAGCACCAGTGCCGTGGGCAGTGGGTAGAGGGATAACGACGCGCAGTGATCCCAGAGCTGGGGACGGATCGACAAGGGGAATGGAGAGAGGTGCGACTGGTCCAGGATGGTTTTGATCAGTTTCCTTGCCGCTTGAATGGACGGGGGACTTGATGGCGTCGGGTCTGACGAAGGGACGTGGGAGGTTGCATTCTGGACGGCTTTGTCAAGATTTCTTCTCGGGTTGTCCAGATCCATCTCTTCCATATCCGACTGCGAGGCCTCTTGGCTTTGGTCCTGGACATTAGCGGCGGCGGCGGCGGCTGCTGCTTCGGCGCCCTCGTCATCTCCATCGAGCTTCGGGAAAGTGATGGCAGTGCGTCGGAAGCGGCTTGTGATGTCGTCGCGGAACATCACAATCTCTTCCAATGGTCCAAACAGACTTAATCTTGCTGGGTTCGTCGCCCATATGCTCTCTCCTTTTTGCGCGTCTTTCTCTTTGGATGCACCATGGATCTCGGCATTGGCGGTAGTGAAGGCCCGTCGAACTCTGCTGGTGAACACCTCTGGCACCCCCTGTCTCGGGAGCATGCAACTGGCTCCCGCTGAGAACGAACTCACCCACGGATCGTTGTCTCCCGGGACGAAAATGAATGTCGTGTTTGCCACCAATAAAGGAAACTCTGCCAGGATCGAAGCCAAGGCATCGAAATGTTCTTTATATTCAATGCTTCCACCACCCCTGCTGGATCCTGACATGCTTGCAGCCGAGACGAAGTTGCCCATCATGACGATGGAGAAGGGCAGGTCACTTATATGGCCGGAGCTGGAGGTGCTGTACGATGAAAGAATGGCGCGAATTGCTTCTAGTGTTCGAGGACTGTCAAGGTTACATTCCCCCAACAGGGCAATCTGGCGGCGGGGCGGCTCGGTTTCGATCTGGTCATCATCCGGGACATTGAGAGTCTGGAAGGTAGTGGGTGGTCGGAAGACACGTCGTTGCAGTCGACGCATCTGGCTCCCCAGCGCTTTCTCACTCCCTACCCCGAGAAAGTCGACCCAGCCAAATCCTGCGCCCATGCTCGCATGTGTGTTACCTCCCGAGTCGGCGGAAACACCTAGTGATATAGCTCGTCGTTCGGCTGGCGGCCCGGCCAATGTATGGGCCACAAAAACACCTTTGATCTGTCCACCTACACCCGCGGCCGAACCCAGATTTGAATTGTGAGAGCCGTCTTCTTCGTAAGTTCCTTCCACAAGAATTAGCATGCCAGGACAGAACCACACGCCGTCTTCAGGCACCGGCCGCGCTATTGAGAGGTCGAGGACCACGCTTCCGGATAGGTCTGTCAGGGAGAGATCTCCCGCGGGAGAATGTACCAGCAGGCCGAGCAGAAGGTGGGCAGTTCCTGATCGACCAAGCAGGTTTGCTATTGGCGTAATCTTGTAAGCTTGTTGTATCGTTGTCATGCCACTTGCTGAGTGCATCAGTCTGGGCGGTCGTGTGGTGGTCGCAAATGAGGGAGTCTGGAATGATTCGTTCCGCATTAGGCGCTGGTGGACGAGATGGTAATGATTTCTGAACATCGATATCTTGTGTTGTATCGGAGGGAGTAGGCTGGTTGTCCCGTGGATGGGCTCCAGGCTTTTTGATGAAGTCGAATACATCAGTCGTGGCTGGTCGAACGCCGAAACAACTTTCAGGTATGCCCGAACATCCAACTGAGATTGCTCTTCTTCGTCCACTCGGTCTCGTGAATCCCCATCTTCCACGTTGAGCGCCGAGAGTCCTAAGTTGGACTGGCCGATATCTATATTCACATCTTGTCTACCGGCGGTATATGAGGGTGTTCGGGACAGATTAGGACTCGGTAGTGAACTGTTATTCCGGGAGAGTTTGCCAGTGTCCAGACGCCCGCCTGACATGCACGGTTCTAGAGTCTTCAAGATGTTGGACAGCTTTTTCTCGGGCCCATCCTCGACGAGGAGGCCACCTCCGCACTTTTTCCATGCTTTGGCTATCTCGTCCAATACACGTTCCGCAAGGCCTTCTTCTCGCCAACCGCTGCCACAGAATTTACCAATGAATGTAGAGAGCAAGCCGAGACCTGAGGAGGTCAGGGTTAGGTTGTGTTTTTTCGTGAGGGTCCTGAAAGCCACAGGTCTGAGAGTTTGAGGGGGAAGAAGGATCGGTAAGACTGTTGGAGCAGCGCTGTGTGTAGTTATGCTAGTGTTCAATTGCGCTGCAAAGGGCTTTGCAACTTCTGTCGGTCGGCTCTTGATGGGGTATGCCGGTGTACCGAAACCCGGCGATGAGGAGAGTAATTGTTCTTCAGTCTGCAGGTTAGACCCGGCTTTGTATGTTCGCCTGGGTAGCCCAGGCGTCGAAATGGGCTCCTCCATGACTGAATTGATTGAGGAGGGTGTACAGCACCTGGGATAAGGTGAAAGGAGGAGAAAAGTTGAGCCTCGACGCGTAAACAAATCACTTTACGCGCGTGCCGCGTCGGGGACAAGGATGTGACGTGACCTTTTTTACACACAACCAACACTGTCACGCTCTTCACTTTCTCCTTCAACTCTCCACCATATTCTATCTACCCTTCACTACCGTTCATCTCACTCATCATCGCGATTTTTGTCCTTCCACAACTTTGCATTCATCGCGCGTCATGGCTGCGACTACTGACGAAACTCCCCAGTCCAACCCGGAGCCGACCCAGCAAGAGCAGTTGGCGGATCTTATCGCAAAGGCGACCGCCGAATATGCGGTCAAACACTACCCAGAGGCGGCAGAGCTGTATTCCCAGGCGACGGAGCTGCAAGCAGAGCTCAATGGAGAGATGGCGCTCGAGAACGCCGACCTCTTATACTCGTACGGAAAATGCTTGTTCTATCTGGCGCAGCAAACAAGCTCGGTCTTGGGCGGCACCGCGGCATCAGCGCAATTATCCTCGAGCAAATCGCGAAAATCTGGAAAGAAGAGAAAAGCAAACGGCGCAGGAAAAGCAGCGGTGTCTACAAACGGAGGGGAGGCTGGCGAAAGCTCCAAGTTGATGGATGCGATCTCAGAGGAGCCAGTGTCCAATGTCGCTGATATCGTCCCCAAGGAGGACGTGCAGCCTCAGGAGACCGCTTCAGACAAGCCATACTTTCAGATTTCGGGTGATGCCGAAGGTTGGGATGACTCGGATGAGGAGGAAGCAGACCAGGAAGAGGAGGGTGAAGAAGAAGAAGAAGAGGACGATGACTTCGCCACGGCCTACGAGCTTTTGGATCTGGCGCGCATTCTGTACCTCAAGAAGTTGGATCAAAGTCAGGAACACGCACTCGAAGACTCCGAGAAAGGCAAATATGTTGCATCAATAGACCTTACACCAGAGGTCAAGTCACTGAAGACCCGCGTGGCAGACATTTATGATCTGCAATCAGAAGTGTCTCTGGAAGGTGAGAAATACTCGAATGCCGTCACAGATCTCAAGGCGTGTCTTGCCCTGAGGGAGGAGCTTGAACCTCCAGAGTCGAGTATTCTAGCCGAATGTCACTACAAGCTCAGTCTGGCTCTCGAGTTCAATTCTCAGACACAACAGCATGATGAGCAGGGAAATCCAACCGGTGACTTGCAAGTTGATTGGGATATCAGGAACGAGGCTATCGCCCAGCAAGAGAAGGCGATTGAAAGTTGTAAATTGCGTGTCCACAAAGAAACAGCTGCGTTGGACAAGCTCGAAGCAGGTCCGCAAAAAGATAAGGCTATGGCTCAGATTGAGGATGTTCAAGATATGATTACAGAAATGGAAGTGCGGCTGGCAGAGCTCCGCAAGCCACCCGTCAGCGTCAAAGCGGAGTCGGAAATTCAGATGAAAGAACAAATCTCCGGTGTGCTGGGCAGTCTGTTGGGAAGCGGCGTATCCGAAGAGGAGAAGAAACAGAAACTGGCCCAAGTGGCGGAGACCGCGACTGATGTATCAGGGTTGGTCAAGCGAAAGAAGCCAAAGAACACACAAGCCAATGGAGGAGATAGTGGCTTAGGATCCTCTGCTTCGACTCCAGCTGCGGAAGGATCTTCAAACCTGGGCAAACGAAAGGTGGGATTCGTGGACGATGTGGAGGGCGGTGAGGGGGGGAAAAAAGCGAAGGTAGAGGATGCCGAAGACTCTGGACACTGATGGAATTGAAGGAACACTGGGTTCTGATGTGAGATGGGCACTGCTGTTGCTGTTGGCAGCGGAAACACCACGGCCACTCCAATGACCTTCAACATCTCAATACCCTGGTTCCAGTTTGCCAATCACTTCTGATGTACAATAGCCATAGCCTCGACCTCATACAACCATTCCGGCGTAGCCAGCGCCGCAACACCCACCAGCGTGCTCGGCGGGCGGTGATCACCCAAGAACTTGGAATAAGCCTCGGACCGCGACGTGTCGGTGGGATCCAGGTTGACCACGAACTGGGTCATCTTGACGATGTCGGCGGGCGTAGCGCCCACGGCCGCTAAACATCTGCCCAGGTTTGCCAGCGCGGTCTCGACCTGCGCGATGAAGGATGGGGGTGTGGTTTTAGTCTTGGGATCAACGCCGACCTGGCCTGCGATTGTAACCAAAGTGCTTGTGGCCGAGAGAGGCGTGAGTTGAACGTGGGAATATGTCGGGCGTGGAGGGGGGACATCAGGCGGGTTGATCAATCGGATAGACATATTGAGTGGGTTGGTGATGGCTTCAGCGGCGAAGCTTCGAAGGTCGGTTCGGCCTGGAGGCGATGAGTGACCTTTGAAGGTATAGAATGGCTGAGATGGTGGTTGCGGTGCCTTGTTGGTATATGAACAGGTTATGTAAGCCCTTATCGGGTTACCCCGCGGGCTCGCGGATTTCCCCGTTCTCTCTTTCACGAACGGCGTACAAATACGGCTAGTACATCGAGTCGGATTAACTGATCATCCGAGATTGTTGGCTGCGGGAACGTGACCTCCTAAACGCGGGGTTTTCTTCCCATCTCCGTTTTTCGCTTTTGGTCTACGAGTAGACAACCAACCAGACTTGTGGTGCGTGCCTCGGGATCCGGCATCTTGCAGCAGTTCCCATCATCCCGTGTGATATTACCTCCTGTCCTTGCTCTCGGTATCGGTCTCCACTGTTCATTCTCACAGCTTGAATGTCGCGACGCTCTCCTCAACGGACCTTAAGAGCCTGGCGCCAATGTCCACTTACACCGCTGTCCACACCTCTCCTACCGACGCCTCCGAGGAGAGAAACTCCTCTGTCTCCGAGAGTGATGCCGAGAATGACGATGGCAATGCCGATAATCCGCCGGAAAATGGCACCACCACGAGCAAAAAGAGAAAGAGGCTCCTGAAAATCTCGTAAGAAGTCTCCTCGCTCCTCTCCGCCTCCATCTACTATTATCGACTCTAACTGTCATTTTTAGCTGTGAGCTCTGTAAGGTCCGTAGGAACAAGTTCTGAGCGTGTTGACTTACAGTGTGTTTAATCAGTCGGAGCAGGCCCGGAAAGTCAAGTGCGACAGAGCAGAGCCCGCTTGTGGCTGGTGTGCACGCAACAACCGAACATGTGTTTACAAAGAGCGTCAAAAGCCCGGCCTTCGGGTCGGCTACGGTCGCGAACTAGAAGAGAAGATCCATCGCCTCGAAGCGCTGCTCCAGGTTATGGGTCGCCGCCTCGAAGAACATATCGCTGAACATGGGGACTTTTCCACCCATCGACCGGGCTCCGTTCGTCTTTCTCATCCAACCCAATCCGCTTCGTTCAACACTTATGCCCAGACCGACCCTCGCCCGTCAACAGCCAGTATCGTTTCTCAAGACACTCCCAGTTCCGATCCCAGATGGCCTGTCGCCAATGCCTATGAACGAATGCAGTACCCTCGACCTCAAGATGCTATGTCCATCCGATCCGTTGTGGACAACGGTAGTCACGACATGGCGGGCCAAAGCGAAAGAGGCCATTCGGCTGCTTGGTTTCCATCAGCTACCCCTGCGCCGTCGATACCGGATTCGGAGCTTCCTCCATACGACTTGCTATATACCTTGGTCGATCTCTACTTCAAACACGTCAACCCGTGGTCTCCTATCCTGGATCGCAAGGCCACATTCGATGCCTTTTTCGGCTCGCAATCGATGAACGAATCGGAAAAGGTGCTCATGCATGCCATTGTCGCCACTACGATGCGCTTCTCCAAGGACCCCCGTCTTACACCAGAGTCAAGGGGCCAGTTTCACGAGATCTCCAGACGAAAGATCATGATGTATGCTTTGGACCACCCGAACGTCCGCGCCCTTCAAGCGCTGGTAATCCTTGCCGTTGATGTGCTCGGGACGTCAAACGGTCAGCAGGGCTGGAATCTCCTGGCCCTCATTACGCGCAATATCGTTCAACTCGGACTGGATGTGGAGAAGAGTGCTTACGTTGAGTCCAGTACTTATCCGTCAGCCACGCTTCTGCAGGCGGCACAACCTCAGTCTTGGATCGAGAACGAAGAGCGTCGCCGTCTGTGTTGGATGACATTTATTCTCGATAGATATGCGACTGTTGCTACCGCGGACACCTTTACCCTCGACGAAAGAGAAATGGACCGATGTCTCCCATGTCGCTATGATCTGTTTTCACGAAACGAACCTGTTGAGACAAGATGGCGTCGACGAGGCGCACCGTCGGAACTGATAGTGAATAAACCAGAAAATCTGGGAAGTTTCTCCTACCACTGTGAAGTGCTTGGGATCTTGAGTCGCATCCATCGGTTCCTCCATCAACCTCTCGATATCAGCCGCCACTCCGATATACAGCGGTGGCGTGAAACCTACCGTGGGCTGGATGGCGAGCTGAATGATTGGCTACAGAATCTGCCTGGCGAATACGGGAAGATCTCTCAACTCTGCCACTCAGATCCGGGAAGTCGGATCTCCAACTGGATAATGCTGCATGCGGCGTTTGTCACGTCTGTGATCCGTCTGCATTCTTCTGCTGCTTATCCAACGCTCAAATCACCTGTTTTCACACCGTCATACCACGCGATTCAACGTTGTTTAGGCGCCGTGGAGAGCTTGAGGGAGATCGCACAAGACGTGATGAACACCGGCATGCTTGCGCTTCTCGGCCACCCTTTTGCCTTTGCCCTTTGGGTTTCTGCCAGGCTCCTGCTCGTCCATGCAGCAACCATGGAGTGTGAAGTTGATCCGAAAATCATGTTCTTCATCTCCACTCTTGAACAGATGGGGCAACACTGGCAAGTTGCCGGAGATTATGCAAGGATATTGAACGATGTGGTGCAAGAGGGCAGCAACGGGTCGGGTAGAACATTCACCGCAATGAGAAGGTAAGTGTCTTGGGTCTTTTGACTGCTCAGTGCGACGGAAACTGATGAGCCATTCTTCAGATGTGCTTACGAACTGAATCTCCTTACCTCCCAACGTCCCCGTTCCGTCCTCGACACCGTTACCACACACAACTCATCGCAAAGCGAGCTGGAATTTTTGGAGGTGTTTGATTTTTTCAACTACCCTCGACTGAATGCTATTGCAGGCAACAACGCCTTTGATCCAACCGTGTCGGTTACAAACCAGAACCAGACGACGCCGACGCAGGGTCAGCCAACGAGCTATCGAGCCACGCCGGCCTTTGTCATTCCGAATCCAGAGAGCGACTGGTTGATCTTCAAGCCGCCGTATGAGTAGATGCGCTTTCCCTGTGGCGGCTACTCTTCTACCCACTCAACAGCCGCCACAAAGTCCTGATGTCTAGGATGAGATGCTGCTGTACCTGCTCAGCGCGGGAAATCTTTTGATTCAATTCGCAGACTTGGACAGAGTAAGACAAATCATCAATCTCCGATCCGGGACAACCCAGAAAGCCCAAATGGGACAGTTGTGGGCGGAAACACCCGGCCTATTTCCGTGAAGCCAAACCTGAATAATCGCTCGTTGGACTGTATCAAGGAAAATAGGCCGTAAACACTCGGACATACCGCACACGTCAGTATATTCATAAATATAATCAGAGGTGGGGAGCATAAGACCAGCTTCACCTGTTAGTTGAGCCATCTTATATCTACACCTATGATCACCACTCAACTCTTTCCCTTAATCGTCTCGTGAAATCTGCCACTGTCCTAGTACCATTCAGGTAGGAGGAATCTACGTATGAAGTAGATGGCAGTGCGGCACTAGATGCCCATTCTTCTCCCCTCAAGCCACGCAAACCTACGCAACCACATGACCACACAAGACCTACACATCCAGCACCGACGTTGCTTTGCAGACGGCAAACCCGCCGAACTGAAGCACGCTGGCACCCACAAACAGGTCCTTGTACACGTGTGCGGCCGTCATGAAACTCAGCGTTGCCCCGTTGTCAAAGTAGATAAGCTCGGGCGTGTAGTTGGACTCACGGCGCAGGCGCAACGCCGCGGCTGGCACCAGGAATTCCTTGCCCAGCGATTTGACGTTTTCGAGGTATTTGGAAAGGTTTTCGAGCGTGGGGAAAACTGAGGCGGAGAGAGGGATGCGGTCGTCAGCATCGGGTCTAGAGATTGCTACGCAGAGAAGAGGGACGGGTTAGGCTGGCTTACCTGCCACGATGAGGTCGCCTGTGGTCGGAACGATGTTGATGTTATCTGCCGCAGCTCCCAGATCCTGGTGGTGATGGTGCGTAGAAAGGTAAGCAGCTGACTTGTTTGGTTTTGTTTGTTTGTCTGCGTGGCCAATGCTGGCGGATGCGAAACACTTACCACGGTCTGCAAATATGTCAAGCTCTTGTCTCCGTGCACCTCGAACACAGTCACCGTTCCGTTCTTCGAGTCGCCGACGTACAGACGGTCTTTCCACACGTTGATCCCGTTGGCGCCTGTGAAGGTGCCCGAGACCTGTCTGCAGAGGATTTCCTGATAATCACACAAACACACAGGTGAGGACAGATTCACAACTCGCGCGTCGACGACCACCTACATCTGCCTCTGCGTTGCAGTATTGAACATTGGTTGCCCAGCCCCAGGGCCCGAACGCCTCCTCCATTGTCCGCAACGGACCTCCTGCGAAGTAATGGTCGTTGGTCACAAAGAAGTCCCTGTGAGAGGGTCAGCTCTATCTGTCATTCTCGGAGGAACGGGTCGACTGCGTTACAATGGTCCCGTCGCGGCTACTCCGTTGGCTGTCTTGATATTCGGATGCTTGACGTTCTTCACCAGCTCGACCTCGTCAGATCCAAGCGTATGCGCGAATATGGCAATCGAGTCGCCGCTGCGAGCGTGGTTGACTGCAAAGATGTGGATCTATATAACTCAATTCCCTGGTCAAACTCGACTCTCTCTCAACACGATCTTCAAGGAGAAGGGAAAGGCAAATGACTGACTCGAGAGGCTTCTTCAGGGAGTGGAAAGATGTCAATACCGTGGGTAATGAAGTCACCTTCCAGGCCTTTGATCTGTAGCTCTGTCGTCTGGCCGGTCTCCAGATCGTGCTTGAACAGCTGCTCACGAAAGGAAGACTCGGCCCGGAGCGAGACGGTGCGCACGCCTGCGCATGGGTACCAATGGGTTCTCTCGACGGGATCTCCGCAGGACAAGAAGGCCGTGTGGGACGGGAAATGGATCTTGACGTCCTCGCACGCGTTGGCGGCCTTGATGACCTGGCAGTCGTGGTTGTTGAGTGCCGAGCTGTTCTCCCAGCGCACGAGTCTGGTCTTGTCGATTTCCACGCGCCCAACGAGTCGGCCGAGCTGGGAGGACTGGTTGTACAGGAGGACGGCGACCAGGGGCAGCAACAGAGACACACGGAGAATGCCTGACATGGTGCTTTGTTCTCGGCTTCAGCACTCTGAGTAAGATGATTGGGAAAAGAGAGCTGCGAACGATTTTGATGCTGAACGAGACAAGTTTGGTCAGACGTTTCGGAGAAGAACGACCCAGCAACATGATTCCTTGCCGAGGTCGATAGCCTATGAACATTGGGCCACAAGGTGGTGTTGATCAACTGGACTTCCTGTCATCCCTGACCTTTTACATACGATGAAGCCGGATCCGGACGAGAGCGAGACTGAAGGTCAGGCCATGGAGGTCAGAAGTGATGAGCAGTAGCGGATGAGCGACACGTTGACCGTGGAGGAGTTGTCTTTGCTCATGCACATCCTGTACCTTGGATCCAGCGACCGATCAGCTGGAGGAGCCACGATTCTTCCACCCCAGCTTCATGCAGCAGCCAAGCAGCCAAACATCGGGACGAGAGAGACGCCGCACCTTGATGGCCGATAGTGCAACGCCGACTGCTACGGATCATAGTGATTAGCTTTCAGCCCCAGCTACCGAACTCGCCGAGTACTCTAGCTCAAGTTAACTACACCACCTGAGTCCAGCCGACCTTCTTAAAATATCAAGAATGCCCTGTATGGCCCTGTCAACTCGCTTGGAGGCAATTGCGAGTTATTGTTTCCCACAGCAAATGACAAACTCATCGGCCATCACGTCTTGCAGTCGGCGACTTAAAAGCAGAGGTCGCGATCAGTAGCAGCCATGTCTTTTTTCGAGAATCCGAACCGTGCCGATGACCATGGAACAATACATACCACTTTGTGATCAAGGACGCCAAGTCAGCCTCGCTGTCCAAGGGCGATGAAGAAGAGGCCTATAGAATTCGAAGCCATGCCCAAACGAGACGACGACAAGGTGAAAGATCTGCAGCGCCGTCCGACCTCCTACAATCCGTGGCATCGATCCCTAAGGACAGGTCTCGGGGTAGATGACCGACCTCTGATAACCAGGAAGAGACCACTTCACGAGAACGCTCGCAATTTCCTGAGGTCAACTCTCACCACCGAATACGTCGGGGCCGACCTCACTGCGCTCATCATGCTGCCCAAACTCCAAGCGGCCCTATCAACGGCCAAGCCCGAAGCATCCTCTTTGCTGGAATTCCCCGGCCTGCATTTCTGGTTGAGCGCTCTCGGCGCTCTCGTTTCGCTGTCCGCAACCAAGAAACTCTCGAGCTGCTCACACCGTGTCCCCAAAGGCATTCCTTACAACCAGCAATTCAATTTCTTTGGCCGTCACATGGCTCAAAGCGCGCGTCGGCTCCGACTCGAGAACGAATTCGACAGTTATCGCAGTTTCCTCCGGAAATGCCTATATTGTAGCTTTTACTGACCACGTCGATGAGATAGACCACTCCACCACCGGAATCTGCGCTCAAGAGTAGGGTTGATTCGCCTCTCCCCTTTCTTCCAGCCGGGAGCACTCCCAGGCCGTTCGGGATCTTGTTCTCGGGCATATTCAGAACTTTGGTCACGACGGCACCACGGGCTTGATCGCGTTGATCGACCTCCCACAGCGTCGCGGAACCCGGTGTAAAGGTGAAATTGTACACAAAGCCGTCGACGGACTGGACGTAGAAAACATCGGGACGGAGCTCCGCGATGCCGGTCAAGCAAGTGCCAGGAGGAAATTGCGCGATGGCCGAGGCAGGGGCAGGATTCTCCTCTGGGTCGACGAGGTAGATGACGCCGTTGGAAATATCAGTCGGAACGATTTCACTGGTAGAGCGGATTGCCTGGTAGAATCAATGTATTCCTTCTGGGTTTTTTCTTTCTTTAAGATGAGGAGCGATCTGGCCTGCGCAAAACTTACAAGATCTCAAGCCATGTGAAATTAGGAAACTGATGGACCGTTTCGAGCGTGTATGAGGCAGGTTCAGTGCCAGGGCGGCCCACGATTGGGTTCGCGGAACAAACACCCAAAATTGACGAGGCTGCGCAGACGAGGGGAAGGAGGATAGCAGAAGGCTTGATAAGGGGCATGATGCTTTGAACCTAGGTTCGAGATGTCCAACAAGTATTCAGGTTGATGGGGTTATTGACAAGAAGAGGTGAGAAGGGGGCAAAGCGAGAGGCCGCACAGTATTATCGATCTATTGCAGTATTGGTGATTTTATATGAATGCAGACTCTGAGAGAGAAAAGAATTAATCATTAGACAGACTGTTGGGCGCATCTTAGATATTGGATCAAAATCTGCCTTTCACGCATGTTGAAGCTGCCGTCCGGGACCTTCCAAAGATCCGCATCTACCTCTGTAACAGTAGTCAATGCTTCCTGCCAAACTCACTACTGTGAGATTGCGCGGACATGGATCTAAATCAGGACAAAACAATATAGGACCACGCGGGCAATAGCGTTATTGAGATGTACAGCCATGTTCGACCATGCGGAGGTTAGGGAGGGCCATGGTTCGGCTACCAACCGGCTTTGGCTGTAGAGGTTTGGGCCACTCTCGGCTGGAGGATATCTATCACGTAGAAGAGGCTAGCTTGCAACAAGTTTTCAAGTCACATTGTAAATGGAGAGTCCTTCAAGGTTGCAGTGCCCAAGATCAATTGTGAAATTTGGCCCTGGGGAGTTTTGTCAATGCCAGCATATAGTACTGTTTTGAGACTAGTGCCTGATCCTCGGCCTCGGCCAGGCCCCCTTCATGTCGGAGAGTCACCCTTTTAGGACGAAGATATCTTGGCATTATATGACTGGTCTATAGCCCATGATTTAGATCTAATTTTTATACTCGTATTGTCCATGTAAAATTTATATACCGTCTATTCAGTTGAGCATATGATGTTGTCAGTAAGCCTGTGTATTTCCAAGACATATGCGAAGATGCGCTCAAAGGTGATATTCCGACGGGCGCGTAGGATACTGGCTGGCTCCATGAAACCGAAAGCGCTCTCGTATATCTGAGAGCGAGGTGAGTGTGGAGGTGAAGTCTTTATAAAAGCGGCACGGTCGGGGCTGAGTCGCATGTGAGCTTGCGAGCCAATTTTTACACTCCTCTTTCAGTGCCAAGCAGCATTTCCTGAAAAGTGGTGGAGCTGGTCCTTAATGGGCTGGAATAGGAATGTGGGGCACCTCCACATTGTGGGACCTGATATCACCCAGTGAAGCCAGAGTAATCGACGTGTCGACTGTCGACTCCTCAAGTCGATGGGTTGGGGTAAAAACTATCTCGTGCTAGGTATACGGTGTCGTGACCCCTGACGAGGCTGGCCCATCTTTGAAGAAAAAGCTTTCTCCCTGACTCGGCTCTATCACCATCACCATGTCGACAGTCACGGTGGAACATCCTTCTATAGGAGCAGTCAAGGGCCTTGACGGCGACGGCGTATACCAATTCTTCGGAGTTCAATATGCCACTCTCCAGGACAGGCTTGCGGAAGCCCAGGTGAAATCGAGCTATGAGAGCCCAGTCGATGCCACAAGTCATGGGTGAATTTTCAACTGTCCCCCACCGAGTATTGGAGATATTGACGCCATCTGCAGACCCTCGTCGTTCTCTCCCCCGAATGGCTATGACAATGAGATGCTCTTCATCCAGCAGTCAATGCCCAAGCCGTCGACTGTCCACTCGGACCTAGACTGCTTGAATCTCAACATCACAGTGCCGAAAGGACAGCACGGGGTCGACCTGGCAAAGCAAAAGCTTCCGGTGTTCGTCTGGATACACGGCGGAGGCTTTGTTGTCGGGGCAAACTCCTGGCCGCACTATGACCACGCCAGAATCGTCAAGCTGGCCCATGATAATGGGGTTCCTGTGATTGGCGTGGGCATCAAGTACGTATAGTCACAGCCTTCGGCCGAGGAAACAATTCGGGGAGGGGACAGGGGAACCACTCCCTAACGTTTAGACACTTTGCTGAGAACAAATTAGCTATCGTCTAGGTTTCCCGGGAATGTTGACGTCGGAGGAGTTGCGCCAGAAGGGATACAAACCCAACAGCGGACTCCGTGATCAGCAAGCAGCGTTGCGCTGGGTCAAGCAGCACATTGCTGGGTTTGGTGGCGATCCAGACAAGGTGACCGTGATTGGCGAGAGCGCGGGAGCAGGTATGCGATGTCCTCTGATCCCAATCACACATTCTTTATGATGATACAGGCTGCTGATGAGACACTTCAAGTGGCCACCACGCTACACCTGTACTCCAAAGAGCCACTTTTCCACCGCGCCATCGCTACAGGCGGCTCATGCCTGCTCGTCCCGGTCTTCACCCCCGCGGACCAAGAACGCACATACCAACAAGTTTTGTCCATCTTAGACTTGGAAAACCTCGACGTCGACCAACGGATCCAAAAGCTTCTGACCCTGCCGATGGACGAGATCATTGCGAAACTGCCGCCCTCGGTCGCATTCTTGCCTACCGTGGACGGGGAAGTCGTCCCTGTGCAGCCGACGTTTGCGGGCGTGGCCGATCAATCCGACCGAAGCATGCCCGGCAAGCAGTGGGTCGATGCTTTGATGATTGGGAACAGCGAATTTGACGTACGTTTAGTCATCCTCGAGTGGACATCGGCAGCTGGTGCGTGCTGGTGCTGACCGGTCTTCTTGACCTCCGTTATAGGCCTCCGTCCTCGGATTCATGCTCGGGCACCTGAAACCGGGTATCGGGAAAAAGTTCCCGGCGTCAATACGGTCCTCTCTCGCGACGACGCCGGACTTTGCAGATACCCTCCTCGAGGCGTACGGCTTTGGCGATTCGGGATTGGACGACGAAACGGCGTTTATCAAATTCCTCGACTTCGTCAACGACGTCAGCTTCTTGGGTGCGACCACCTCCTTCGCCCGCGGCTGGCCAGCCCCCCCATCCTCATCCTCATCCAACTCGAAAATCTTCACCTTCTTCTTCAACGAGCCCAACCCCTGGGCCGGCGCCTACCAGGGTCGCGCCACCCACGTCCTCGACGTCGTCTTCCTGTTCCAGAACCACAATCACAACCTGCCGCCCGCGCAGAGGGCGGCCGCCGAAGCGTTCGGGCTAGATCTCATGCGGTTTGTGGCCGGACAGCAGCCTTGGCCGGGGTATACGCGCGAGAAGAGGACCGCAAAGGTATTTGGCCCTTCGAAGGGGGAAAAGGTGACGGCTAGGGTGGTTGAGGATGCAGAAGCATTGGAGACGGGTAGAGGCAAGTCGATCCTCCAGCTTGCGGAGAAGGTCGGGTTTGATCGCCTGAACGAGACGGTCGGACGGTTCAGGATGGGTCTCTGAGAAGCGGGAGGTGTTGCATGGCGGTAGCATACCCCAACGGCATGGCGTGGCGGCGAAAGAGAAGAGGCAAATGAGAAATAGACACTTTGTGCTGCTGCTGCTGCTGCTGCTCCACACTCAAAAAAGGAAAAGGGTACACACGAGTCCCTTCACGAGTCTCCTTCCCGGATATGATGGTCTCTTGGTTCCACGGGCGGCCAGGCTACTCTTGGGCAAATGTAGGAAGAATAGACCCCTAGATAGACATGCATATAAAATATAGATAGATAGAGGGAGATAGCAGTGGTGAGCGTCAATTTCCAACTTCCCTGCTCCTATGGACATAGAGTCTGGGATTTGTCTACGCAGTGTCCGTAGATACATACACCAATTAACGAGTCACCCATCGCGCATCTTGGAATGGAAATGGGAGAAGGTGACTGGTCCCTGCGTCTATTTGTGAGTCACGATGTGATTGTCACTCTGTCACTCTCAGAATCACCCACACGTACGGGCTCGTCATAGCTCGGCACAATCTCTGTAACGCTTAGCTAGGTATGTTATAGACAGACAGTCAGTCAGTCAGCTAGATAGATAGATGGATAGATAGATAGATAGATCATCTTCCACAGTCGCCACCACAAGACAGGATCAACGGATTCCCCATCCCCCGAGAAATAACTCCCCTCCTACTCCTCATGCGTGCGAACGTGCATCTTCTCGAGCAAATTATTGCGGGCCCAGTAGCTGCGGTATTTCTTGCCCAGGACAAACATGGGCGGCACTGTGGCGACCAACGCAAAGGCGACGCCACCCCAGACGTAAAAGGCGTGCTGGGGCCCGACGGCGGCGGTCCAGTTGTTGACAAAGTAGCTGAAGCCGTACAGGATGAGGTTCTTGACCGACATGCTGGCGATGAAGATCTCGTTGGCCATTCCCCGGTATGCGTCCAGCGCGTAGTTGGACGTGCCGATGCACAGGAACATGACACCGAACAGCATCAGGCCGTGCACGGTGGCGCACGCGTACGGCGATGCCCCCTGTGAGACGAGGTGGCCGAACAGCATCAGCCCGACGCCCGAGCACACGCCCAGCACGCACGGGATCAGCCGGTACTCGGGCTCGTAGACGCCGCGGTTGCGCCGCGCGCACCACTTGATGAACGGGTCCGAGAGCACGCCCATGATGATGGACCCGAGGATGCCGCCCACAAAGGGTCCCAGCGAGAGGTACCCGATGCTGGCCGGGCTGAGGAGGTAGGGGGGCGGGGCGAACAGCTGCGCCAGGCAAAACGCAATGACCACGTACAGGACCACGAACATGGAGTTGACGATCAGGATCCACAACACGGCGAGGTTGAGCACCACGGCAAAGGGCGCGAGGAGGAGCTGGAAAAAGTTCTCGTTCGAGTACGTGCCGCTGAAGATGGCCAGATCCTGCACAAACGTCTTCTTGTGGTAGACGGGAGCCTCGTCGGCCGTTGTCGACGTCGCTCGCTGCGCCTCGGTCTCCTCGGTGTGTGTCGCGGCCGCCACGTCGGATTTCTCCAGATTCAGTCTCTCCTGGTACTCGAGTGCCGCGAGATCCTGGAGGTTGTCGTTCTTGACCTCGTCGATCTCGTAGCGCCGGTCCCGCACGTAGCTGGTCTCGGGGACGAACAGGAACTGGAGGATGGTCTGGATGCCGCCGAAGAGGACCAGAAGGTAATACCTGCCAGGGAAGAGAGATCAGTGTGATCCGGATCAGAACCACAAGACCTCCACCAAGTGCATCAAGAGAAGAGAGAGCAGGA